ATCTAAGAGTTTCAAGAACACCCTTAATGCTTAAAATATAAGGATGTGATGAACGTTTTAAGCATTTCAACTTAAACAGACTTCAGGCTTTATTGTAGCAGAGGCTATCTTAAGTGAAAGTCACCTAAAGAGTCCATCTGATACATTCTGAAAATCCTCCTCACTCCCGTAAAGTGCAGTCTATTACAGCCTATTAGTCATCCTTTGCACTCTTTCTGCTATAAAGACACTGCATGGATTTTATTTAGGAAAGCGGAGCTTCTTCTTCTGTACTTCAGGTGGACATTTTAAGACCCCGGCAGGTGCTGTGTTGAAAGGCTGGAGTAGCGACGGGGGAACTGGAGGAGGGTTTTTGGGATAAAAGTGAACTGCATTACCCATGGGCCGCCAATAGGCTGGCACTATCCTGTCGCCCTCCATCGCCTCGGCTCAGCTCCTCCAGCTGAGATGTACTTAGCACCATTCATAATTCATGGTCACCACCCCCCCATGCACAGGCCTGTCATGGCTTGTTCCTTTCGACAACTCAGCCCAACTCTACTTTCTCCCCTAAGAGGATGCGAGCGGTTGCATAATTTAGAAGCCGCCCGCTGTTTTCAGGGCTCATCTCTTATCAAAAATGTAACAGACCGAGTTTCTGGGGGAGTTTTATCAAAAGGGGGGCAATGGAAGATGTTCCAGTTGAGACAATGGATGTAGGCGGGGGCCAAAACTTCTCCAACTTTTTCTGTGAAACTTTTCTGAAACACAGTGACGTCAGTGTACTGCAGGGCTGACTGCACACATGCATACATGACACAAACCTCCACACAGGATGAAGAACAGAGACGATACTGCAATTTTAAAACCAAAAAATGTTTGGAATGATTTCAGGAGACGGACAAGAATATTATCTTAATAAGAGCCTTTTCTTCCTTTTTGTCTGTTCTCATTGACAGATTTACCTGATTTGTTTCTCTGTTCAGTGATTAATCAGATTTAAGGTCAACTCATTGCTTCAACTTTCTCCTGAATATGTTTTTGTATGTCTACCTAGGAAGTTATGTGTCTCAGCACATGCATTTGCAGAGAGATCAAAGTCAAACATTTTTAATAAATCAGAGTATTGTTTCAGTGGAGTTGGTCAAAATGAAACAAAAGGCCCATTGAGTTTTCTTCAGAGTGCAGCTGGCCACAGCGACTGAAGTTAGACAGGTCAAGGTGACTGAGGTCACGAGGAGACGAAAGACATTTAAGACACATGACGAACACCTGCTGAACATATCGGAGTCCAGTGTGTTAAAAGAAAGGCACAGGTTTTATTGACTTTGTTGATGTGTCTTTACTTCATTCAGGTTTATTTCTGTGTTGTTTATAAGGGCTAATGTTGACAATTTCTAAGAAAACGTCAACATGACTATGTGGTACACAAATCAGTATACAGTGGTGGAATATAACTATTACTCAAGTACTGTGCATCAGTACAACTCTGAGGTAACTTTATTTTTATTGGAGAATATCCACATATCTACCTCACTACATTTAAAAGGCAAACATTGTAATATTTACTGAGCTACATGTATGTGGTAAGTAAAAGGGCTGAAACCAACTTTTTGTATCATTGCTAAATATGCCAACTTTTTAAAGGGTTAATAGAAAAAATGTATTGATTATGAGATGTCCAAAAATGGTGAAAAACATTTTCTTGGTGTCTGGAAGTGAAGTCTTCAAATTGCTTTATTTAATCCAATCAACAATCTAAAGCCCAAAGATCTGAACAAGTATCAAACCTCTGATGTCAATAAAAGGCTGTTATAGAGAACATTAATATTAGAGTGCATGATGTGAAAAAGAAAGCTTAATGGTGCAAAGTCAAAACATGCAGAGGAAATAACTACTGTATATGAAACTATATTCAAAGTTTATGACTTTAATGTTCTGAGTACTTTTAAGATCATCGGGAATTAGACTTATTACAAAAGGTTTGAAATAAATGTATTATTGTATTTCTTCAATGGACCACATGTATGTTGCATAAGGGATATTTATATGAATACTGATCAAGGTGCTGCTTTGCTCTTTACTGATCATTTCCTGTCATCACACAAGCTCTGCACTCCCTTAGCGTGTTACAATCGACACTGTTAGTAAAAAAGATTTTTCACGGTGTGACCTTTTGCATAATGAAGCAAAAAACAAAAACAGCAGATGACACGACATTGAATTGCAGGTTTGCATGCAAACTAGTGGCCTGGTTTGGTGTTGAACTTTGATCCTGTTCAGAATATTTTTTAACAGAGAAAATAATTTTCATGATAATCTTTGTGCAGGTGTTTCTTCTTTAAATCCACATTCAGCCACCGTGAATAATTCCATGATATGTTGAGTCTCTCTATGTAATTAACAAAATATGACAAGAGCAGAAAAATAAGTTACCCAATGACCCTCTTTAATTCCAGCCTGCAGAGTGACATGAATTTTCCTTTCACCCGCCCTGTGTTTTACAGACTCACTTCTATGTTACCTGAGTTGTCAGTGCACCTGTGAACATGGTTGACAAGGGCTTGATTTCTTGAGGGAACGCTGGAGGAAATGTTCATCTCAATATTTAGCATTGTTTATATCAGGCTGTAAACATGTTGAATTCTTACAGGAGAACATTTTGATAAAGGGCCTAATGGGGATTAACTTCCATTTTTATGGCAGCCTCAAGTGGCAATTTGAGAAACTGCAGCTTTGGTGTTTAAAATACAGGGAATGAGTTTTGTGCTCAAAATTTGGTGTGGGAGGACAACCAGTCACTTGGCCTCAAGAGCTGTAACTAAACCTCCTCTCCTGGCAGACAATATTAAAAAACAAAACACACAAGATAAGGTGTTAATGCCATTATTGTAGTTTCCATTCGTATATCAACATTTCAAACCTCTGATCAAATCAGGATTCAGGTGAGCAAACAAACACACTGATTATGTTGATTTGTGGTGTATTTATAGAAACGAGTTTGTCACACAGTTAGTCAGAGGCTTGTCTAGGTTAAGATGTTGAATGGGAACTCTCTGTGCCTGTTTTTACTACTTGATCGCCCCTCTCCAAGCAAAAGACTTCATCCCCACTACCTTTTAAGGTAAGCAGAGGCAGCAGACGCAGAAACAGACTAGCATGTCTGCAGGAACATTTTTAACTCTGGTGAAAACAACAAGTGAAAATGATGAGAACAGCCCATCTAAACAAACTACAGTTTCAAATAAATAACCACTGATAATCATAACAAACTGTTTCTGTGGTGTTTATTTGAGACATACGTCTCTTCAATGCGGTGGGAAGAAAACCTTGCATCATCCAGGCTTCACTTCTTCTTGGCTGGATAATATCTTGTTTTCATGCTTTTACTTTGAATTTATGAGTGAGAGAGAAAGGTATGATGTTTTCCAGATACTACTATGAGAATTCAATCTCTTATCTGATGTTAAACAGGAAACTGTCCAAAGTTGTTACCATGCAAAAAAAAGCCCCCAAAATCATCTGCATGCCACTGTACCATATTATAGCACAAGACCTATTATTATGTGCCAGCAGAAACAGTAGCTTCATATACCTCTCCATAATTGGTCACATCAGCAGAACGACTTGTAATTATTGTTTACTGCAGCTCGACTCCATTTATGGTGAACTGTCTTTATCTGGTGCTGAGCAGTGAGTCTGTAATCTCAAAGATTTGTGGGGCTGCTCACAAAATTACTGTCATGGATGAAAAGATTATTTAATAACTCCTGATTCCCAATAAGGTCAGGATTTCACACACCAGTGCGTGGCCCGATAGCCTTAAATAAGAGTTTGACAGTAAGTGGTACGGTCAGCAGGAGAGGTTTATTTTAAATGAAGCGACTAACTACTGCTGTTGAGACGTGCTGCAGTCTGAGGGAAGGAGAATCTGTTCAGGATCCCAAAGTCTACACTCCTGTAGGATTTGAGTTTTTATGGATTTGGGTCTCAAGCGGTCTGAGAGTCTGAACTGAGGTCTGCAGTTTTTACTTCGTAAATGGGAATAACACTTGGAGCCACATGTGTCCCTCTTAATATTATAAACAACCAGAGGCTTGTTATTAAGAAGTAATATCACACCCGAGGGAGTGCTGTTGTATGAGCACATCAAGTCTTTTAAAGCTAAATTGCTCCTGTGAGAAGTTTTTAGCTGGTTTTTGGAACTGCCTGAAATGAATACTGAAACTTCTTTATGAGCTACAAAAGCAAACAGAGCCATTAGCATGAAGGTCCATTATTTCTTTAAAGTTACTTTAAATGCCTGAAACGGCAGTGGTGGGGTAAGTATCATGGCAGCACGCTGCATGATCAGCCTCTTGTTTCATTTTCTAAAACAGTGACTCCTAATGGGCGATACTTTTGAATGTAAAAAAAAGCAGGATGAGATTTTTGCCACAAAAAATCTGCAATAAGACAAAAGTCACTACTTTGTCGGCAGGGTTTTTAATAATTAACACAAAACAAAAGTTTGAAGCTTGATCCAAAGGCAGCTGGACTTGGTTGAAGATCTTGAAGACGTTTCAGCTCTCCTCCGAAAGGCTTCTTCAGTTCTAACCTAACTGTTAGACAAAACTAGACATTTAAGCCTCTGTGGATCATTAGCATTAGCATTTAGCTTGACTTTCTAGCTCCTTCCACCAGGTACTTAAGAACTTCAGAAACATTTCGGAGGAGAGCTGAAACATCTTCAAGATCTTCAACCAAGTCCAGCTGCCTTTGGATCAAGCTTCAAATTTACCTGGATGACTGAGAACCTGCACAGACAACCCAAAGGTTTGACTACATGATGCACACACACCACACATTCCAGTCTGCACATTGCACTTTGACACCCTGGACACTTTACACTGTTTACATTACTCTATATTTTATATTTTGTACGTTCAAATAATTTTTTTTTTTTTTTTTTTTACATTATATTCTATTTTACTGTATATATGTGTATTAGTAATTTGAGTGTTTATTGCATGGCCTTGCTGAACAGTCTTTTACATTTCACTGCACATCTGTATGAGCATGTGACAAATAAAAATCTTGAATCTTGAATCTTGAAAAGGTTCCTCGAGGATCCTGAAATAATAATGAATGACTAACTAAAGTTTTATTCACATTTATTTTGTTTCTATCTTTCTTTATGCTTTTTCAAAAGTTTGGCCCTTTGCCTTTATTAGATAGGACAGCTGAAGACTGACAGGAAATGTGGGGAAGAGTGACTGGGGGATGACACGCAGCAAACAGTTGCCGTCTGGGCGTCGAACCAGCAACCAGTGGAACGAGGACTGTAGCCTCTGTACATGGGACGCCTGCTTTACCAATAGAGCTGCACCCCAAAGCTTGCTTTTGAAGCATTTCATAAAACTATTATTTGCTCTTAACCAGCAAAGGAAACTTGATCTCTGAGAAATCACATTTGAAGTATTTCCTAACAACAAGAAACCTTTAAGATTTTTAAAGGAATTTGAAACTAAGGGTGTGACAGCAAAGATCACTATCAACGTTTTTTATAGAAATTAGCAGGATCTATAAACAGTGTAGGATTTTTACGACATTCTAGGCTTGTGCAGCAACATGGCCACAAATATCAAAGAGGAAATTGATGACAAGAGTGGAAATTCTAAGATAGAAATAGACACACGGGCCAAGTACTGTATCAAAACAACAAAATGTACGATTTACGCAACAGTATCATGAAGGCCTGCTCTTGAACGTTCACTGGCAGGAGCGCAACATGCTGTAAATCATGTTCTCTAAACCATCTCTTGGACTTGCTGCCAGTGATACGTGGCTAAAACTCTCAGGATCAGTGACTGGATCGAGATCAAAGGCTTTGAACTGGAATCAAGTCTCATGTCATTTTTAGCCTCGAATGCTAACTGCTGTTTTTCTCCTCTGGGACTGAAGGTAGAGATGGGATGTTGATTGTGTTGCAGAGACACTCCCACTCGTTCCTGTTTGTTTCATCCCCCACTTTTTCTCTCTTTTCCTTCCTCCTCTATTGCCTCCTCCTGCTCCTCCTCCAGCACGAGCAGCAGGATAACAAACCGCCTGCCTCGTGTTTGGATAAGTTAATGCTGAGATGTCAGCCTCCATTCTGATGTATACCACCTGCCTTGGCCTCCAGCTGACCTCGTACTCCAGCTCCCACAGCAGAGACATTCCTGTGCTTTTCTGGGGCTGTGTTTACACTGCTGCTCTCCCTATCTGCCTCATCACAGCGGACAGTGCAGGGCCTCTAATCCAGACTCTTCCTAATAAGCTTGTGTTGTTCTGCAGGAGCATGTAATGTTTGCTGGCAAAAGCCTGAGACATCACTCAGTGGAAGATTTTTAATTCAAGGATATATGAAGTTTAGGACACCAGTGTTAAACTGGGAAACTGGATAGAAGTGGGGGATTCAGTGAACCGGACATCTCACCCTCAGGAGGGGAGGCCTGCGAACGGCTCAAGTCATTCAGATGCCAAGATCCTCCCACTCAACACTGTAAGGGCTCATGTGAACACCATGACCTCACCGCGGCTGCCCTTTCAAAGAATTAGCCCTGTTGATTTACAAGTTTAAGATCCTAAGCAAAGGATTGACGTCAAATAAAAAAAAAAGTTTTATTTCGGGAGGCTGGCCAACTCTTTTATCTTGGATGTGACTCAAATAACTCAATTTCTAATGGGGCACGCCACTTACACAGTCTGCAAATAGAAACTTGGCAAGGAAAAAGTGCTTTTCTTCTACTGTAAGTTAGTTATATAAAGGGAGACATGTTATTCTGCCACCAGCATTCAGGCTCAGTTAATCATGCGGTTGCTGTGAAACTGGTTTGGTTTAGGGGGAGTTGTGCATGATGTTTAGGAAATACAAATAGACATTTCATTTTGAAGTACGTTAATATGGAATAAGATTTGTCCATAGGAAGTGAAAGTTTGAAAAAATCTGTAACTACAAACCAACATTAAAAGATAGAATGACAGTGTTAATCTCTTCAATACAAGTCTAAATAAGAAAGAAAAACAGTATGACAACATTTGGAAACAATCAATCTAATGAACCAATTATGTAACAGAGGCCTCTAGTGCCCGCTGAGAAAAACAAGAGAGAGCCATGAGTTCATCTGTACTTTTAGTTTAAAAATCTGTGAGAACAGATTCATAATCTTTGCCTGCTGATTTGCAATCTGTGGGCACGGTTTCAAAAACTGTGGGAACAAATTTTGTAAACTATGGCCACTATTAAAAAAACATGATTCATTTTTTTCAGAGAACAAAGAATGGACCTTTATCTCGAGGGCTACATCCACCAGGTAAGTCAAATAAATCTGTATTTAAGGTGAGATTTCATGCTACATAGTGTTTTACATTTCTTTTTTCATAGCTTCCCATGTTCACTTTATTTATTATGCTTTTCACTCTAAAACTAACCGTACAGTTTGAGGAAAGCAGTGACTTTGCTAACGTTGTTCTCTGAATAAAGACATTGTGTTTACAAAACCGTGCCCACAGATTGCAAAATCAGCGAGCATGGACACTCTGTGTGTAAGGAGGAGAGCACGGATGATGGGATGACTACAGAGGGGGCGACATTAATGATCAATTAAACTTAAGAATTTACAATAAACAGTGGTTGTATGTATAAGATAGTATGAGATGATAGGATGAATAAATAAACATGACTGGATGTATGGAAGTTGTAATATGGCATAATGAAAGTTTGAATACATGGAATTAAAAAAAATTATATATGGAAAAGAAATGAATCAAACTTGAATATATAGAATGTCAGAATATAAACATTTTGACTGTAAATCCAAATATTCAATTCAACATTCAATATAACTATATTACTATGAGGCTATTACGTCAAAGCTTTCTGAACTTGTAATTCCGTTATCACTCATAATATAACAGGGGACATGTCTGGTTATAGGTCATTAGTGATACATTATACTGCTTGAAATGTTGCCAGTAAATATTGAGTGTCACATATTGATTAATAGGAAAAACTAAACTCAGCATTGTTTTAGGGAATGTTTTTGCTTTAACAAACTGAGTCTGAGTTAAAAAAAAAAAAAAATTAAGATAACATGTTTACATTTATTTAAATCTGATCACTTACATTTTAAGCCATCAGCCAAAAAGACTGAGATCCTAAACCTCTGCTGACCGACACACTTAGGGTTGAATCAGCCTCCTCTGGATATTCTGTCACTAAGTTAGATTGGTTTAGTTATTTGTGCGATACAAGTGAGGTTGACACTGGACCATGAAAACTAAAAAATCCTGATGTGTCGCCACATTTTACCAACACTACCTAACAGAGCTTGTGTCACTGCAGTAAGTGCACTACAGCATGAACAGCAGCTGGTTTGTGTCCAGTTGTGACCACCTACTTTGTGTCTCACTTAAGTACCTGTTAGTGATCGCACATAACAGACACTTCTGTCACATTGACCACTTGCTCTTTAACAAAACTCAGCTGATATTTTAAATCCCCATCTCCAATGCTGCTGTTGGAATATGCAAAATGTTGATCATCTTAATCATTACCCATGACATAACGTACTTGCTACTTGCATGTAAAACGTCTTAATGTGGACAAAAATAGTTTTACTTAAATGTCAAAATATGAAGATATGTTGTGTCATTGTCTTAACCTTAAGTCCGCCTGAGTGAGTCTCTACTGAGCAGCTACTGTTCGGTGTTTCTTGGTCATTGATTGGATCCAATTTAAGTACTGAAACCAAAATACATATCATTTAATTTATATAGTTTGTGGTTCTAGTAGTGCACAATTTCCAAACCTTGACAAGAAAACTGAACAAGCACATTTTCTTTCCATATAGAGCAGAACATCATCCTGAAGAGAAACATCACCAGTTAACAGCATCACCACCTAGTGGTCAATAGAAGACATTACACCTAAAATGGAGATGCAGACTGGTGATGCAAACTGTAATTGTTAGTATGTAAATTGTATGTATGCTTGCTTGTGTATTACTTTGCATTTGTGTCAGGACCTCCTTGAAGACGAGATGATGCATCTGAAGGGTTAATGCATTCAAATTCAAACTGAGCCTGTCACTTGTACAATCTCTGGCCTGGCAGCACAAGAAGCCATTTATGAACAGCATGGCTCAATGAGGCGCTGTTTTACCAAAAAGCAGCGTCATCTGGTTACACTACATTTCTTGTTAAGACTTCTAACGTGTTTAATATCAAAACTTAACGAATTCAGTTCAATGTATTCATTTTGGGTCACGTTTTAATTTATTTTAATTGATCAACTTGTAAATAACTCATGTAATTGGAAAGAAACACATACTTAATTTAAAAACGGGGAAGAGAGATTCAGGCAGTTGATGTCACATATTAAAGAATTTGTCAAAAAAAAAAAAAAAAAGGGCTGAATTTTTGAATACTCATAAAACCACAATCTATTTCGAAGACGACCCACAACTGCATGTATTTACCTCTTGCCTGCTTTGTATTGTTTCTGAGCTTATTCAACTTGTCGGATGATTAAATAATGTGTTTTACTTGTAAGAATTGTGTAAGAATAAGTTAAATGTGTAATAAGTCGATTTGAAAAAAGGTCTTGAGAGTTGACTTGTTTTTCTTTTTAAAATGTGTTCAATAGTTGTCATTAGAAAAACAAACCCAGCTTTGCTGCTCAACATACAGTATGTGCATTAACAGGAGTAATAGCGCCACCATCTGGCAAAAACAAAACACTTACTCCATATACACAAAATATACTCAGCAAAATGGAAAATTTGCCTGATTTTGAATAACAAAACTTCTAGGGAGAAAAAAGCAAATTTGATTTTGCCAACTTAGTTTAACAAAATACATGATTATGCCAAACCTAAACATAAATAAGAGATAAGCTCTTTAAAAATCTGTTTTAACTCTTTAAGTGTTAATACAATGATTTCCTTTAATTTATCAAAAAGTTATAGACAAGAACGTGTTTATTTATTTCCAACTTTTAATGTAAAATACAAAACAATACAAGACTTGCTGACATGACAGGAAAGAATCATTTTGCTCATTTGTCCTTCTCTTTCTGCTCCTTCTCTTTCTTGTCCTTCTCAGCCTTGGCCTCCTCAGCCTCGTGCTTCTTGATGAGCTCCTCCACCTCTTTCTGTTTCAGCACTTTGATTTTTGTTTTCCCGTCTTCTCGTGTCAGGGTGGCAATTTCAACTGAAACAGCCAAAGCAAAATAACAATGTGTTACACTAGTATAAATGAAGAAATTGCATCTAAAAGATCTTTAGCAACAAGGTAGGAAACACATTCTGTCCATAATACCTGTTATAATACCTCTGAATGAAAGTCAAACTAGAAGCTTTTACTGAAAATAAGTGCTGAAGTTTTCTTTGATCCGATTCTGAGGCCTGATGTTATAGTTCTTTAAGTCTGCAACTTTATATTACTTATTTTCCGCAGTTCTTATTTTCATTTCACATGCATTAAATAACAAAAAGATTGATTGAGAGCATTTCAAACTCACCTTTCTCTGCTGAGAGTTTGCTGACATCCATGGTTTTGTTGAGGACTTTGACAGCCAAAGCCAGAGCAGAGGACAGAGTCATTTCTCCCTCTTTGTAGTCCTGTTTCAACATGGACACTGCAGACTGATGCAAAAGAGGTCAACAAATCAAACAGGGAGGAAGTATAGGAGGAATTAAGCACAATATATAGTCACGTTTATTGCAGAAACTTCTGGATCTTTACTAAAACAGCTCTGGTATCTGTAATGTAAGATGCCAGTAACTACTGACATTCAGATATACATTAATAAACCAACAGCGTTGGCTAAAGTATGCAATGTTTATGTGTTACAAAAAAAAAAAAAGAGTTTTACAAGCAGATCCAAAACAACTGTTGACAAACTAAGTACCGTACATCTTCTGAATAACTCTAAGCTAAGTATTCAGGACTAATAAAAACACTGAATGGTATATCTGTTAAGACCATATTGCTGACTATCATCATCAGGGTCATTTCAGACTTACAGCACTGTTGTTCCCGATACAGGTTGCCTTCCAGCCACCATAGTTGCCACTGGGGTCACTCTGGTACAACTGGAAGCCGTAGTGTTTGTCCCAGCCCATGTAGAGCAGAGAAACACCAAACGGTCTCTTCCCTGTTTAGACAAACCACTGAGCTGTTAGAGAATGTCAAAATCTGTTTGCAAGTTCTTTTGTAGGTATTTCACCAATGAATCATCTGATAAATGTGTTTTGGGCAGATGTCTTTAAACATACATATTGCATTTTTAAAGACGGACAAAATGTTGATCCCAAGGATAAGTTAAATTAGTCTGCTTGACTCTTTAAGTAAAATGAAGGCATACAAACTATAAACTCATCATACCTCCGAACTGTGTGTACGCCTGCTTGATGTCACACAGTGCTGTCACCAACTGCTCGCATGGAATTGGCTCTTGGTACTGCAATAAATATCTGAAGAGAAATTTTGTGGGTCAATGGCCAGAGGTGACTGTGTTGCAATGGTAGAAACTGAAGTACCAACATCGAGAAAAGCTTAAAATGAGAATACTGCATCTAGCATCACCACTGGTTGGCAATTTTCCTCTGGAACTCACCTCTGTGCAATTAGCCGCAGCTCATTTGTCAGTACATTAGCATCTGATGTGATCCCAGCAACACTGCAGGCCAAGTCTCTGAAAAAATAGATGTTCACACACATGAGCCCTTGCGAAAGGGGTGAGTTAGTCAGCATGATAAAAATTAGCCAAGTTCAGTTCACTCACTCGTTGAGTTTGTAGATCTTCTCAGAGAAGAAAACCTCGTCAAGAAGTTTGTGGATGTTGCGCCTCTCTGCCGCTAAAAGCACTCCATCCTTAGCTAGAATCCCCAGACAGGTTCCAGCGTGACCGATCGCTTCCATAGCATACTCCACCTGATACAGGCGTCCTGCAAAATTTAAACACGACGATTATACTGATTACAATGTTACAATTCACTTAGCAGACGCTTTTATCCAAAGCGACGTGCATCAGAAGTAAGTACAACACTAATCCAGTCATACACCGCCACCACAGCAGCTGGAGCAATGTAGGGTTAAGTGTCTTGCCCAAGGACACATCGGACATGTTGCCCAGCTGGGGATCGAACCTTTCGGTCGAGAGGCGACGACTCTACCAACTGAGCCACAGCCACCCGATTATTCTTTGCAAAGGGCGTCTACAATCCTGACGGGCATGAGTATCTCTATAGATATACTGTTTATACTGGTGAAGTCAGGAAGTTACACAAGGAGCTGGAACTCAAGTCGACTGACATTTTCTCAGGAGTTTTAGCTGCATGTCACAATATTCAGTTAAAATCATTTTGTGAAAGCGGTGTTACCAAGTCAAAAAATAACTATTCTCTCTAATCAAGCAATTAAATTAAACTCCCAATCGTGTACAATTGATTTCATTCACTTCCCAAGACACAACTATATGGTAGAAGTTTCATTACGAGTTCATATCATTGGCAAAAACTAATATTCTTTCTTATGGTACCACATTTGTGTCAAAGTTGCATAATGTACTAAACCCTAATTAAAATGTAATGTTGATAGGATAAAAACAGTTATCTTGTCTCAATATTATAGCAAAATAGTATCTTACCCTCAGGAGAAAATATGGTTGTTCTGGAGTCATATCTTCGAGACTAAACAACAAAGGAAGAAAAAATATTGTTAAATAAGCAGAAGCATGCAATAAATATTAATAATAATAATATTGATAATAATAATAATAATATTGATGATAATAATAATAATAACAATATTAATAATAATAATATTGATAATAATAATATTAATAATATTGGTTATAATAATAATAATAATAATAATAATATTGATTGTAGATTTATATTTCAGTAAAATAACTACTCACCATGTTTCAGTGTAAATATCCTGCAAAATAAAACATAAACATGAAAAGTCATGGCAGCAGAATTTAACCGGTAAATAAACATTTATATTGATATGAGTTTGAGTCTTTTTTATACAGAAGTCGATATCAAAATGTGAACAATAGATTTCACAATAACTGTGTGCACGCGTTTACTCACAAATGCGATTAAAAAACACTTTTACATCATGCCTCAGTATCTGACAGCTAACCAGCTAACCAGCTAACTTCAGGGAAGAATGAATCTGCAATATATGGAGAAGCTAGCTCGTTAGCATGCCGGCTAACTCGTCTACAATACAGAAGCTCTCTCCGGCTTCAAACAGACCGTGTTACCCGAAAACTGTGGTTTGCTGACAACATACTGGTTTTAACAGTGACATATTAATATGTAACTTTTAAGTGTAATGGTCTTACTTTGCGTTGTTCTCCACAGGCTGAGCAGTTCACTACTTTCAGTTTTGATGCTTCCTCAACACACCGTGATGCTCCGGCAGTGACGTCACTGTTCAACACTGCCACCTGCCTGTGGGAGGACCGATCAACTTCCTGTTACGAGCGGCATTTCTTCTTCTTCTTTGGATTTTATTGGCAGCTGGCATCCAAAAAGTTGCATTACTGCCATCTGCTGGATTTAATTATTACTCACGTTCCTAAATCCGCCTCAATAAACCTTTTCTCAAGAGAGATTTAAACAAGCATCTCCGTCCTTTCTCTACGGAAGCCCATTTCCGCCAGTTAAAAAAATAAAAATGAAAATAATAAAGTCATAATAATGAGATATAAAGTCGAAATTACGAGATATAAAGTCATAATAATGAGATAAAAGTCGAAATTATGAGATATAAAGTCGAAATTACGAGATATAAAGTCATAATAATGAGATAAAAGTCAAAATTATGAGATATAAAGTCATAATAATGAGATAAAAGTCAAAATTATGAGATATAAAGTCATAATAGTGAGATATAAAGTCATAATAATGAGATAAAAGTCAAAATTATGAGATATAAAGTCATAATAATGAGATAAAAGTCAAAATTATGAGATATAAAGTCATAATAATGAGATAAGTCAAAATATTGAAATTATGAGACTTTATTATTTTCATTTTTTTTTTTACTGGCGGAAATGGGCTTCCATATTTCCCTCTCTCCCCACACTATTACAAAATACTTTTTAAATCTCTTCTCACGAGTCCCTCTCTCTCCATTTCTGACATCATGTTCTGTCTATGTGCTACATACTTTATACATTTAATAACTACATGTTCATTCTGCTAGATTGCATATCTCACAAAGACCGGATGAATGTTTTCTAATGATATGTAGAGTGCTATTTAAATTACTGTGACCAATTCTTAACCTGGACATTACGCCCTCCTCTCTTCTGTTGCTCCCTCTGTGTTTTACTTTATCTATTTCCCTCTGGATTGAATATAAATGTCTTCCCTGATTGTCTGATTGTTCCAATATTGATGCCATTCCTACGATCAGCATTTTTTAAATTCAATATCTTTTATTGAGCAAGTAAATCGGACATACATTCAACAATATATTTCAGACTCGTTTTTTATAGTTATTACAATTGTGCATGTAACCCTGATGTTATTTGAAGCTCAGATATATTGATAGGCACAGGGGTAATATTTAAATAAGGTAGTTAAAAAATAAAGTGCAATAACATGCAATGTAAAGAACAGAGAAACAAACAGAGTACAAAATATACTAAAATAAAAAAGTAAAAAACCCACCCCCCACGACCCTTAGAGACCTTCACTCTTCAACCATCTCAGTTGTTGTACAGTGTGTGCTATAGACGAGGACTGTTGTATTCGGCCAGCAGTTGCAAAATATGATACAAGAGGTTTCCAGGTTTTAGTGAATTGTTGAAGTCTGTCCTTCAGAACATATCTTATCTTTTCCAAATGGAGAGTGTTAGTTAGATTTTCTAACCACATTTCAGAGGTAGGAACAGTTGCGCTTTCCCACAAAGTAAGAACTATTTTTTTTGCCATCATAAGACAATAAGAGAGAAAGTGATCAGCCTTTCTTTTTTTTTTTTTTTACAATATCACATTCGTTCATGTCACCTCCCGGGCTATGTAGTAACCATAGACTGTATAGACATAGTAGAAAATAAATAAAAATGCACATAAACAAGAGGAAGTTACACACACCAGAGCTCATGTTTTTTTATATTTCAAGCATTTCTTAGTCATTCAATAACCTTTAACAGAATCAGAATCAGCTTTATTGGCCAGGTATGCTTAAACACACAATCTTACTTGGGTAAACTGTGCTCTCTTTGTACAAAGGTATAACATTAAATATCAACAATAAACATATAAGCAAAGACTAATATCTACAAGGCTATATAAGATACTAGTGCAGTGGTGAGTAGTGTAAAAGATGCTGAAGTAAACATGAGTTTATTTTACTTTACTTGTGTCTTATGAACTTTTTTGTTCCTAATGTTAGATATATAAGTGCTATATTGTCCCAGTTCATTAATAAAGTGAAAGAAAGTTGGTTGGGATCCAGTGCTTTTTTTTTTCTCATGAATATGGAGTTTGCAAAAAAAAAAAGTGTGTAAAATACAACATTTAATTTCCCATCTTTCCTGGGTTAAAGTATAACAGTATTATCAAACTGAAATTGCATGAAATAACACGTAGGCTGCCTCTCCTGTAGATGAGGATGAGCCGCTGTATACATGTAGAATTGAGCTTATATAGAGTAATAAATCATTTATCTACGGTCTGTTGTTAGATGACCACAGTAATTGGACAACTACGTTTTACTCTGCCGTTATTTAACTAATGTATATGTTTGATTTTTATTTTTATTTTTAATAATTTTATCCCTTTTTTTCCTGTTTTCTTGAGCTGCTGTAATACAAAAATTTCCCCCATGGGGGATCAATAAAGTTTATCTATCCTTACTTGTAAAAAAGAAAAAAGAAAAAGGAGAACAAAAAAAAAGCACTACTGAAGCAAAAATAGAGTTTGACATCAGTGAAGACACATAAAAAGAAACAAGCTCGTCATTCAATTTTTTTAAAAAGGAAAGAGGATTGATTGAAGTATGTTTTTTTCTTTCGCCTTTTTTTTTTTTTTGGTCAGATCCAGTCCGACAGGTGGCGCTAATGTACCTTTAAGCTTGTTTGCGAATCAAAGCAAAGAAAGAAGAAGAAGAAGACGAAGAAAACACAGCTGTGTCATTGGTCGGTGTTTGAATGGGAACAGGAAAATATTTTTTCACAGTTAGCTAATAAGGAGCTAACCATCGAGTTGACCAGAACCAGAACCATCGAGTTGATATAATCGAGTAAGCTTTAATTCACTGAGTACCCGGATGTATCAATCGAGCGATGACGTGAAGTTTGAAGTCTGATCGATGCGACTGAAATGGCTTCAAAATAATCATCCGACGAGGTGAGTGTGTGCTAAACGCTAAACCTCAGAGGGCTTTAGATCAGAGTTAGATAACACAAACATCCACCAAAACATCATGAAATCACCTGGAGACGGTCCTGATTTACTGAACACCAGGCTGTGTGATGCTGTGACTTACTTTGAATGTTTTTTATAAACGTGATTAACCAACAAACTCTCCACTCTTTAAATCATCTCTCTGTTGGTTTCACTCGGTGTCCTCTTGACTGTGTCGACTACAAACTGCTGCTTCATGTTACGACCGAGAAGAAGAAGCGAGATCTGTAACAACACGGTCATAACAACGACATTTATCGTCCCGATTGCAAGCTTTAAATCCGTGTAGTTAGAAAGGGTTGTCTTGCTGTGTGTGACCTTTGACCTGTCCAACAAAGACACCTGGGGATACGTGTCAATGCTCAAGGAGAAAGAAAAAAGCACAGCCTTCTTTAAGGTTATATTTACACTTTACTGTCAGAATAAGGATGTAAATAAAGCCATCTTTTCAGGACATTGCTTTTCAGAGGGTTTTGTTTTTGTCTTAAAGGCAAAGGTCACAAAAGAGGAGGTGTCCTTTCTGTGATCAATATCAGGTTATGCGTTTAGTTAAACCTTTTTATTCCCTCAGTCTTGACACATTATTGCTGCTGCAGTTTGGAGAGAAGATATATTAAATACATATCGGCTGGGGGTAAGATGTAAGCTGTTTTCCTTCTCCTGCTGCGGTTATATATATATATATATATATGTCTCTGTCACGTTGTGTCAAATCTGATCTTTGAAAAATGATATCGTGGCTTTTTGCCTTTATTTGGATAGTAAAAAGCTGAAGAGAGACGGTCAATCTGGGGAGATTGTGGAGGAATAAATGCACCAAAAGGTGTCAGGAACCTGAGGGTTAGCGCAACACTTTCTTGAGTAATATCCAGGTTAAGTAATCCAGTTTTGACAATGATTATTTGTTCTCCTTTTTTTTTTTGTTGCCTTTAGTAATGATTACTTCAACTTTAGGTGGATGAAGTTTCCTCAGTTTTAATTGTAAACTCAATCCATTCGGTATGTCGACGCAATGTTTACATCCTCACTAAACTGCGACGTTGAACTGACCTCACTGTTGTTCACGCCGCCAGGCAGGAATCATTCTGATGAAGGGGCATCTTCAGCTGGCAGGATGCAGCAGAAAAGGAACATCCAGATCATCGAGTGGGAGGACCTCGACAAAAGGAAGTTCTACTCTTTCGGGGTGTTCATGACAATGACCATCCGGGCCACTGTCTATCCGGCCACACTCATCCGCACTCGGCTTCAGGTGCAGCGGGGACAATCCCTCTACAACGGCACCTTCGATGCCTTCTTTAAGATTCTGCGGGCGGAGGGCGTCCGTGGCCTTTATCGCGGCTTCATGGTTAACACCCTCACGCTCATCTCCGGCCAGGCTTACATCACCACCTATGAACTGGTTAGGAAGTACGTCTCCCAGTACTCTGAGGACAATACAGTCAAGTCTCTGGTGGCGGGCGGCGCAGCCTCTCTGGTTGCTCAGAGCATCACTGTTCCCATAGATGTTGTGTCTCAGCAGCTCATGATGCAGGGCCAAGGCGAGCACCTCACCCGCTTTCGTCTGAATTCTAACACTGAGAAGGGAAAGCCCAAAAAAGTGTTCGGCCAAACCAGGAACATTATGACCCAGATTTTTGCTGCTGATGGCTTCAGGGGCTTCTACAGGGGATATGTGGCTTCTTTACTAACGTATATCCCAAACAGTGCTGTCTGGTGGCCTTTCTATCATTTCTATGCTGGTAAGCAGATCATTCTTCTGTTTTCTAAACTATAAAGCATCGCACTAATCGCACTTTCTGTGTCTGTATTTGATCAGATTTAGTGAATATGATTGTACCAGTCTGTGCCCTGTGGTTGACTTACTGTCTGTATGCGTGATATTCTACAGAGCAGCTCTCTCAGTTGGCTCCCAGTGACTGCCCTCATCTGATTCTACAAGCCACAGCGGGACCTCTGGCTGCTGCTACTGCCTCAACTGTCACCAACCCGATGGATGTGGTCAGAGCCAGAGTACAGGTAACTACTGTCACTGCATTTCAAAACAAGGGCATCCTATGATCATTTTGGGGCTGCTATAATTATCATTCAAATCCCAGTAAAACTTGATCTCGAGAGGTTTTTTTTTTTGATTATCCAACATTTTAGATACAGCAAGAAGTGTATCTATAAGTGGCACATGGTTCATGGTGGTTCAAGCATCTTAACTAAAGATGAATTTGTTTCCTCTGTCCATGTGGGGAAAGGTGGCAGTTACGTGTATCAGAGTCTGTTGTGTTTAGTTAGATATTTTTAAATAAGTGATAAAGTAAGAATAAATGGTTAGTCAGATTCTTTTGTGCGTATGCAAATAGTAACAAACTACTATAACACTGGTCTGTAGTTTGCATATTAATACACCAGGAAACAATTTTTTCTTTCCCAAGCAGGAAAGCAAAAGTTGTGTTCTGATGACAGATTCTGCATATGTAAACATTTCCCAAGTCAAGTTTTGCATAGAAGAAGAGTCAACCACTTCCATGAATAAATGTTGAATGGAGTGAGGTGGAAAAGATATGCCCCGAAGGTTTAGTGTGGCAACATTTAGTTAAATTGTAAGATGAAATTCATCTTCACATGTCTACAAAGAGACAAACATTTTTTTGGTTTGTGATTTCAAATAATCCCACAGCATGCACTGCCTGTATGTTTTTGTTTAGGTTGAAGGGAGGACTTCAGTCATGGAGACGTTCAGGCAGCTGATCAAAGAGGAGGGCGCCTGGGGACTGACCAAAGGACTGTCTGCTCGCATCATTTCCTCCACGCCCACCGCCATCGTAATGGTGGTTGGCTACGAGACGCTAAAGAAACTGAGTTTGAGGCCCGAGCTGGTGGACTCGAGACACTGGTAGAAGAAACCTTGACACACCATATATGGACCATGTGCCATTTTAGCCCTCACATTAGACTTAGACGAGAGAGAGGTTTGTTTTAAATAACAGCCCAGGGAACAAAATGGAAACACTTTAAACAAACACCTGCGTAATGCTTTACCTAGTATGTAGTAGTTGAACATTATTCCAGATTGATTACATAACCATTAACATTCACACCAGACTGAGGCTTGTTTAGTGCAATTGAGTGTTTTGAATGAGATGTTTTCACATGCAGATACAGATGCAGACAAGTTAATGAAACCATAAATGATTCATTTTCAAAAGAAAGGCTGATGGGTAGTAGAGGTGTGAGTAAAAATTAGATTTATGTAAAAATCGAGATCTTACCTTCTGAGATTTTAAATAGATTCATAACTTCCAAAATAGTTGTTTTCTTTTTTTGTTTGTGTGGCTAATCAGTCACTCCTTGCTAAGAGATAAAGCTCGCTCTTTAACTCAGCAGGATGCCAAATGGAGCAACAAGAAATCCAGCCAGTCCCACAGATGACTGGAGTGGATCCTGAAGTATTTACTAATTCATAAATAGACTTTGAATCATGAATCCAGATTAGATTCTGAATCGAATCGTGAACCCAAGGATCGAAATCTAATTGTGAGACACCCAAAGATTCCCAGCCCTAATGAGTAGTATATCTGATTTTTTTTTTTAATCAGATGTTAAAAATTAATCTAAGTGACCACTAATGAACCATTAGAAGTTTGTGGTGGTGTAGGGACTCGTGTTTTCTGTATTTTCTTTGCCTTGTCACCGCCTCTGTAGACATGGACGCGTCCAGACAAACATGGAAAAACATTTATTATATATATATATATATATATATATATATATATATATAAAAAACATATGTTAGGTTTCTGTGATGAACACCTTGTTGTGTTTCTTGTGTTACTCAAGAGCACAACCTTTTTAACACGATTTGAATTTGATACTAGCTGCTTCCGATTGGGTTACACGTTCACCAAAGAGAAAACAAAGCAGAGCCCATTTTAAGGAAACATGGAGCAACACAGCAAACAGTGCACAGCGTTTGATTGATTGTGATCGAATGCTGCTGTTTGACTGAAGAGTGCAACCTTCACAATCTCTCTCTATGCTTTTGAGAAAATAAGATTCCTGACACATTTTAAACTCATTTTTTGTGCTACTAGTGAGATGGTTATAATAGTAAGCTGTGTTTGCATCCATATGAACAGCTGGCTGTGATCAGAGTTCAGACATGAATGTTCAAACTGTCCCTGTCCTTACACGCTGGCTTCTTTGTCTATCCTGCATTTCCTCTATGTCTGCCTTTTTAAATTGCTGCCTTCATCGTCTGCTGAAAGTCAAGAGAAGAACATTAGATTATAGAACCGTCGTTTTGTGGCAGCGTCTGTGTTTGTATTTAATTGGCATTTGTCTTGAAACCTTTACCGACTGAATCATAGAAGGAAAACAGTAAACATACAGTACAATATTCTCCTCTGCACTCCTGTAACATCTGCTGACTGTAGAAGACATTGCAGTGATGGAGCTGGTGAATGAACAGCAGATTTAGTTGCTGAGCTGCTTTTTCAAACCCGAGAGCTGAAGGAGACCGAAATTACGAAAGCAGGAGTAATGCAGTTTCCCTGTTGTGTCACTAACATTCTGAGTGCAATAATGTAAATGTTTTATTACCTTCAGCACAAAAATGTGATTGTATATTTCCTGTAAATTGTGTGAAAAACATGTTGAATGAAATGTGTTGGAAGTGAATTTCTTTTCTGGTCCATGTTTCTGGGATTATGACCACTGAAGTATCCAAACGTGTTGTTACATTCTGTCTGATCTTACCTGGTCTGACATGCAGAATGTGGCTTTTGAGGAAAGTTTATGCTTTTTAAAATCACATATATATATATATATAGTAAACATTTAACTGTGACGTAACATGTCACATTTTTGAGATGGGAATCACAGAATGGGCTGTATTGGATGAATAGAGGCAGTTCTTATCTGAACTCAGGTCTAGATGAACTCTGGTACATCGTTTGGATTCATTAGCAGTTCTAACACATTTTCATGCAGTGATACACATACACTTCTTCAATTGTTTTTCCCTTTTCAAGGTTTCTTTTACTAAAACCTGTGAGTGGTGTGTGAGAGAAGGGAATCGAACAAACTGCTGGAATAAAATTGAACACAGTTGTTGATCATTTTCTTTGCACAGCTCTCAAATCAAAGTGGGATTGTGTGATTTGTCTTCTGTGGTGAATCAGAACCTGACTGACAGAAACGTAACACATTTTGTTTCACACCATGGTTCATCTCTGTGTCTGGTTTGTTCGGTAAATAAAACGTTAAATGGTAAATTGACTTGAGCTTGTGTAGAGCTTCTCTAGTCTTCTGATGATTCAAAGCGCTTTTACACCGCAGGTCACACCTTCACACACTGATGCCAGAGGTTTCTTATGTAAAGTGACCATCAGAAGTAACTAATCCCATTCATACACTGAGGGAGCAGGGGTCAAGTGTTTTGCCCAAGGACACGTCGACGTGTGGCTGCAAAATCACATTGGCTTTCTCATTATTTCCATGCAGATAAGTCTACATGCTCTCATTTGTTTCTTAATCTAAATGCTCAAATGAATCCCAACAAATTCATTTTTAAGGAGGATACCATTATGATCATTTCAGTGTTAAAATGTAGGCTGATTAAAATCTATTTTCACAAGAAAACATGAAGGACTAATTCTTTTTTGAGTGTAGCCCTTAGACTTTGTTTCAGTGACAGTTACAACAAAGAAAGAATCAAATGAGAAATGATGCTTCATACGTCATCTCTCTTTGGCTTTTCTTTTCCTCATCTTTTTTCTTTTTTTATCAGCCAACTTCCAGTACACGCCAATATTTCTATTTCTGTGAGGAGCTCAAAGGTTGATAGATCTGCTCTCTGTTTACTTTCATCATATACCAGACAGGTGAGCTGCTCACTAGTCTGGAATACAGTTTAGTCTTTTGTTAAGTCTGGTCTTAATCTCAAATACCCTTAAAACACTGATGAAACATGAAACAAATACATTCAATGTTCTAGAAGAGTCTTTTGTAAACTTTAACATGAGACCTCATCAGATACAACACGGTGGTGGATTCACTTAGAGTACTTTTACAGTTAGATAATAAATACAGATGGAGATAGAAGGCATGACATGTCCCTGATTTAAAAATATATTACATAAGAACATGAAGAGGCTTTGTGTGAACATGTCAACATTGTGTTCCTGTTGTCCTCAGGGAGTGTGTGTTGTGCTGATAAGGAGGTGTGGGAGGAGGAGAAGATAATGTGTTTTCTTGATGTTCTCGTACAAGGTGACCTCACGGCAGAGGTCATATCTCATTTAGGTAGTTTGGTAACAGGATGAAAGGATCTACTCGGGTAAGGTCATTTTTAAAGGTCTTTTTTTTTCCTGATAGATTTGGCTGATTGGACCTGAAGTTGTCAGTTTTTATGTTGTATCATTATTGCCTAAAAGTCTAGCCAGGGACAAGGACTGCAAATCAGCCATGGCTGGAAGTCCTACATCGCTTCAGTTGCACTTTAATTTGATGTAACAATGCCTACATGTAATGTCCCTGATTGATTAAAAAAAAGAAGTAATCAAACAATCTTTATTTGTAGAGCACCAATATGTAACAAATGTTATCTCAGGACACAAAGAGCAGGTCTGGATGGTACTCTCTGGTATACTCTGTTAACTTGCAGTACAATACTGGTAATGAAGGGGGAGGAGAATCAAATTCTGAGTCTTGTCGCTCATAATTATTCAATTATTTCTCATTTAATACAGGAAATGTGTCACGTTTTTGTTTTTGATGAACCTGACTTCATTTTATCTAATATAAGAAATGATATGTGGGATTCATTTTTTAATTTCTCCTTCAGGGCAGTTAGGGGAACAAAGTTAAAAGTGATGAAGAAATGTTACAAAAACATTCAATTCAAACCTGAACAAATTGCCTCCCTGGGCGTAGCAGCATAAGAACGAAACAGGAAATATTTGGGGTCAAAATGAACTTTTTTCCATCGTGGATATGTATGTGAATATGACTTTTAATGTTGTGAAAATATCAGCTTATTAATCTCTGGCAAACAAATCAAACGCCAGTCCAGCCCGTGGATAGAACAAACCCTTTTAAAGCCTTAAATAGACCAGCCAGCACAACGCCTGCAGTCCTTTGTTTCATAATCAGGACAATAGATGGCAGCAGACTGTTCCCTTACATCCTACATTACCTTTTTAAAGGGTCACTTTCCCTTTTGGAAATCAAACCCTGCAGAGACAAATGCTGTGATGAATGAAACAAACAGGGAGGGCGACACGGAGCTGACACTTCATGCTGGATGACGGAGTGCTCCCAGTTCTGCTCTCTACATTAATTATCCCGCCGTGTCTGGAAGGCACTTTGTCAAAAAGATGGACGAGGAGCCGTCAGAGAGGAACAAATCTGACTCGGCCGGGGTTAGAGGAAGGGCCTCTCATTCTCATGGGGGGTAATAGTGACAGCTGTGTGTGTGTGTGAGGGGCGAATAAAAGGTAGGATAGTGAATGGAAAGACAGGAGAATAGTTTTAACAAGACTGTTATGTAATCTTTGTTGCTGCATTGGCCACGATTTAGAGAATTGAAAGCAGCAAAGGACAAAAAGAAAATCAAATTTAAACTCTGAACTGTATTTCTATTGGTCCTGTGTCCCCTGGTTTTAGTACGTTGAACTTTCTGAGCCCCAGCACAATGTGAATGTATACAAATAATATGTTTTTAAATGCAGCTTCCCCTTCTTTAACTCTGTCTTAATACAAGATTCAGATTGCACACTTGTACGCTGAGAGAGTGTTTGGTTGCTCTTCCTTCTCTCTGTCCTGGCTTTGAAATGACCTCCTTCTTATGCAATGATGTTTGGAATATCTTTTGCGATTTCAGTTATGTGGGGGATTGATTTACTTGATTTGTGTAGTCATACAGCCAGTGCTTCACATGAACCACTTTATTCAGACAGAAAGTCAACTGTGGATTACTTTCCTTTAACTGGCTTTAGGTGTAAATATCTTCACGGGCATTTTGGAGGAACTGATCAGATTTACACAAGATGTAGGCGTAATGAATATTGAGTATATTTTGAGAGTTCAAGCATGCAGACTGATCCTTTAAACAGTATTTCTGCCAAACTATCCGAGTAGTGTCAACTGGTGACAACGATGTGTTTCGTGAGTTGGATCTTTTATTCACAATATTACAAAATGAGAAACAAATCAAATAAAACATGTTTGGGCGACTTGGTCTGGAACATTAAATGATGAGATAAGAGGTCATAGTTGTGAGATTAAAGGTCAATAGTATGAGAAAGGATACCAAGGTTATGACACAACATTTTAGAGGTAGGAGATAAAAAGGTGATATAATGAAACAAAAAGCTAGTTTGAGAAGAAAACATATAAAATAACTCATGAATATAAGACAGATGGTCATAACTATGAGATTGAAAATCAAAGTTCATAATTATGAGACAGAAAGTTGTGAGATAAAAAGTACGACTATCTATTTCATATTTTGGACTTTTTATATCATTTAATGACTTCCAACGAGGTAATTTAAAAAACACATTTAAGTTTGACTGGATTTAACCAGATGTGAATTTCTGGAAGTGCTTTACACTGTCTCTTTAAAAACAGTTTCTATAAATCATGTTTTGAAAAAGAGACACGTCACTCCAGTCTTCTTCTTTTAGTGCTAAAACAGATTTAACCACTAAGGCTTTGAGACTAAACATCTGTTTTAATCCACCATTAATTTTTCAAATAACCTCACAATGAGATGGTGGAGTAAATGAGACGAGGCATGAAGACCAACACGCTGAATTATAATATGGCAGGATCATGAAAATAAATCTTAAATGAGAATAAAACCATCAAGAATGTGTGTGTGTGTGTGTGTGTGTGTGTGTGTGGTGTGTGTTTAATTGTGTGGAAGAGGAGGTTGAGATGGAGGGGTTGGGGGGGGGGGTCTGTCATGTGGGATCACTGATCAAGGGGAGGAGAGAAGAGGGGAGAACAGGCTTGGTCAAAGGCAGTGAAAGAGTCTGAAGAAAAGAAGCGCAAGAGACGGACGAGCAGAAGCCTGACACACGTTCAAAACCACACAAGAAAAATGACCAATTTCGAAGGCACCTGGAAAATGAAAGACAGCCAGAATTTTGAGGAGCTGCTCAAAGCCCTGGGTAAGGACAGTTTACTCATGTTGACTTTTTTTTATTTTACCATGATGGTTTGAGTGGGTTTTAGAGACTCAGCGTGGAATGGATAACATGGTCAAATGTCTATCATCTACACTTATAAGATTTATATGAAATAGAGAAATGTGGCAGTAATCAAAGTTAATGAGTCATGCAGAGATTACTGGAGTTAAAATAGAGTTGTTTTTTTAATTGCACAAAACTTTAAATGCATCTCGCTTGTGGTACACATTTGAGATTATATGTTGATTGTAAGTCTTAGAGAGGGTGGATAAAGACTTGTACTTCACTTCTAAATTCACCTCAAAAAATGTCCAAGTGATCTTCTCCAAATGGCCTTGTTATTTCTTCTGCAGTTCTTTTTTCTTAATTTTCATGCCACAGTGTTGTTGCAGAAGAGAAATTTTACATTACAAATGCTTAGCAAAAAGTGTGCTACGTACAACTCAAAGGAGGAGACGATGAGCTCTTGCATTGTGTGAGTGATGGACTAAGGAGAGGATGGATCGGAAGCAGACTGAAGCGTTCTCTCGTCTAATTGTTTGCACTGTAACTGTGTGACAACAGGGTTAATCGTTTTTTCCACTCGTTAGGAGGACAGAATCCATCATGATGTACAGGAGAGCTAAACAAAGCACAAGCCAGCAGCATTCCTCCCTCTCATCACCTTGTCACTGCACCTCTCTATATTTGCAACATCTGCTGACAACTATCTCAGTTACGCTGCAGGAGGAAGATCCTTTTTTTAATACGAGAACAAACTGCTTCATGATTTACTCTCCACCTGACAACTTCAATAGGATTTGTTTTCATTGTGACATGACTCCGCCTGAGACAGAAAAGTATACCTTCATGCATTCCTCTAAAGCAAGTTTCACCTCTAAATAAGATTTTTGTTACAAGCCTTTCGGCGCCAGAGGCAGACAGGAAAGTGTGATGAAAACTCATGACAGATGATAAAATATGGAGAAAGAGCTCAAAATTCTCAGAGGCACAAAGTCATTTTTTCTTCATTTGGTCACTCTGAATTTTAACCCTTCACATCTTTACAGACTCATCGGTCCAACCTTAAAGTGGGGGTAAGCAATTTTAATCAAACACACTTTTTGTCAAATTTAGCCAATATTTCCCGTTCCCACTTCAGTCTTTTTACAAACAAATCAGGTTTGTATCCACCGCTTGCATTCGTTCACTTATTGTATGTGGGTCTGTTATTAGTTAAACGGTTGGGGAGCTTTTATATGGGTTGTCTAAAAGACTGTTCAGTGAGGGGTCCTGTAATGTGATGTTTTTTTTTACCTGCCTTAGAAGAGGGCGGCAGGCAGTGGTCCAGCACGTAGGAACTTGGGTTTTCGAACCAGAAGGTTGAAGTCGTAGTACGGACTAAAATATGGAAACTGGTGTGGTTGCTGGAGAGGTGCCAGCTCACTGCCGTGCTCTGCTGATCTGCCCTTGAGCAAGGCATTCATGTGCAGCCCCTCACTCTGACACTCTGTGCACTGTCCTAATTCAATAAATTCAATAATTAAATTACCTACACTCTGACTTAAGCCTCTGCCAACTACCCTTCACTAGAGTGAAGCCTCATAGGGAGGGACTTTTATTCTGTTGAGTTCAAATTTCAACAACGTTCTTTCAAATCACATAGAAAAATCTCTGATACAGACTTAAATGTAGTATTGGCCAGTATGCAATTTGTTTGTATTGTTAGCATCAGCAGGGATGTTGGCCAACACTAAAGTCAGGGTATCAGAATCTGTATTTGGGAAGGATCTGGAACAGATTTTCTCACATGTAGTCTTGTGTGTTTTCAGGTGTGAACGCCATGCTGAGGAAGGTAGCAGTGGCGGCTGCGTCCAAACCCCATGTGGAGATAAAGCAGAACGGAGAGCACTTCTACATCAAGACCTCCACCACAGTGCGCACCACAGAGATCAATTTCCTCATCGGAGAGGAATTTAATGAGGAGACAGTGGACGGGAGGAAGTGTAAGGTAAATATAGTTATTGACACAGTAAAGTTTTAAAAGCACTTTCTGTGCAGGAGAACATTTTGAGATTTCAACAACTGGCTTTCTGTCCACAAAGAAGTACAGAAATATAATATTAAAGCAGAACGTTTAGACTACACAACTCTTTGGAGTCCCACAACAAGCACCTAAACTCGGAGGGATTGACAAAATGTGCAACTGCAGTTTAATGCAGGGATATTACAATTTTTAAAACAGATTAAAAAATAATGGTCACGGCGCTATTTGGGCTAGCAGCTAGTTCGCGTGCCTCATGTATGGGAGCTATAGTCTTCTAAGCGTGCGGCCTGGGTTCCACTCCAACCCTTGGCTCCTTTTCACGTCATTCCCCACTCTCTCCTCGCAACTTCTTACTCTACCTACTGTCCTGTTTAAAATAAAAGACATAAAAAGTCCCAAAATGTGGTCAAAACCAAAACAGATAACTATGACCTCTAGTCCTTAGTTAGGGTTAAGCTCCGACTCCTCTCATTAGGCTTTCCAAAATGGGTGAGGTAGCGTTCCTCTCAAAGTTCAGTGAACTTTGAGAATTGGTCAAATATGCCTTTGAGTCTCACATTTGACAGAATTCATGGAAAACTGGCGACATGGAAGTCGTTAAAAATGCAATAAAGACATTCTTATTTTTTCTAAAGTTGAACAAAAGCACAAGAAAAAGATAAATGGACAGTCCCCATTGGTTCTCAGCCATCATTTCACTTTCCTGTTGACACCCTATAAAGGTGAAACTGAGGCGGTAAATATAAGAAAGCCCATTAAACTCTTCTTCTCTACAGAGCTTGGCCACTTGGGAAACAGAAAACAAGATTTACTGCAAACAGACTTTGGTCAGCGGGAATGGCCCCAAGACCTTCTGGAGCCGAGAACTCAAAGGAGACGAACTCATACTGGTGAGTAGTTTTGTTCAGTTTGCTCCAAGTAGAAATCTGGTGTCACACAGAGAACAAAGGAGAGTGCAACATCTCGCTTTACACATACAACAATCCTGGTGTGTAAAGCATCTCTGTACACTCTGGTCGGTTTCCTCTGTGTCACTTTAGGATCCTCTCTTCTGGTCCTCTCTCTATAGAAAGGTAACAAGTTCTCTCCATGTTTTCTTTCATACTGTAGCTCCCAGATGCTCTAATCCCACCTGCCTAGAGAAGGATGTCTAAACAATGACTCCCATTCTCATCTGAACTCTCAGCAGATCAATGACCAGATGTTCGGATGTTATGTGAAGCGGGATGAGGTGTCAGATTTGGAGGTCACTGTCTTTAACCACACGGGTCATTTTCTGTTTCTCTTCGTGCCAATAAGAAAACATGTGCTGGGGCACGCTGGTGGCGCAGTGGTTAGGGCGTGCGTCCCATGCGCTGAGACCATCGTCTCGAGCGGCAGGCCCGGGCTCGCCCCACCCGTGGCCCCCCTCCGCATGTCCCCCCGCTCTCTCTCCCTGGCTTCCAACTCTATCTACTGTCCTCTCTCTGCATTAAAGCCACGAAAAGCCCAAAAAATAAATCTTTAAAAAAAGAAAACATGTGCTGAAGAGACAATCTGTGTTTGAAGCGCTGTTATTTGGTAGTTCTGGTGCATTCAATTGTTATCGTTCTTGGAAATGTGCTAATTGGTGTTCTTGGCAATTGTGTTGAAATTGTGGTTGGAAGCTTAGCTTTGCACAAGACTGGAAACAGGGCGAATCATTAAAAGTTTTAAAGCACATGTGGCATAAATGGGTTCCAGCTTCACAAATATGGATATTTTCTGTGTTGTTTGCAGTCCTCTAAGACAATAAACTGAATATTTTCTGTGTGCAGTGTTAACCCTTAACTGGCATCTTATATATCAAAAGATGATTTACCTAACAGGGAAGCTATTTTTCAGAGTTAACATCAGTGAGTAGAATCAGTTGCAGGCCTTCTTTTTGAACATCAAGGATGGATTGCTTCATATCTGCAGTACAGGCACACATGTAGAGGTGCCAATCATCTTGCTATTGGTGGGAAAACAAAATAAGATGATTTCCCAGAGATAATGGACGGGCCAGAGGAATCACAGCCGAGGCAGAAACCAAAACTATCCAGATGTTTAAGAGAGAGTCCATCTCTGGGTGGTGACACCAGATGTGAAATTTTTAAAATGATCTGGTCAATATTTTTTCCAAAATGCTACGTAGTTCCTAGAAAATGTTACGATCTCTAATGGCCTTTTGCATGAACCACCAAGTCCTTGTGTTTCCTTGTTTTGCCAAATGAGGGTGTGGATGAGCATGCCGGTATCTGTGAGACAGAAGAGTCTCATGGTGCATTGACGCTCCAGAGTAAGTGAGATTTTTTAAGAAAATGTCTGAAAAATAGAATTTAAAACATCAAGTCTGTTTTTGCTGTGAACAAGAAAATATTCAAGAGTCCGAAAACAAGTGAATACTGTTAGGTTGCAACAACATCGTGCAGGTTATAAGGAAATATATGATCATGTCACTGCCATAAGTTTGCAGTTAAACAGCACTTTGTGATCTTGCATGTATCAGAAACACTTGAGTTCCTGGCAGTTCCAGGATCAAGTTTTTTTTTTTTATTGTAAACATCTGGGCCTGGTTGGATTTATTGCCCAGATGGACAACAAGAATGAGTCCAGTTTCACTGTGATGGAGATCTCTTTTTTTTTTTTTTTTAACTGATTATTACATACCTAATCAGGAAAATATTTGAGAAGGGCTGAGATCGAACAGAAAGAAAAAGCTTTGAACAGGACCAAAATGTGTTTTTGATCAAGATAAGGGTGTGTGTGTCCGTTCATGTTGGCGTGATGGAAGGTGTAATCTGATCGGCATGTGGGGTTAAATCATCGGTGGGAGAGTAAGACGCTTTTTAAAGAAAATATCAGATTAGATACAATCCCAGACGTGTGTAATCTAAACACAACTCCCTCACTTTCAACATAACTTAATGTACCACTTTGATTGATGAATGATGTTAAAACAAAGAAACAGATTTCCTCCATGATGAAACAGACTGAAAGATTTCACTGTGAAACCTTCATGAAAAGACTGGCGGTACTGGCCCATGCTTCTGTCTGCACAGTGAATCGTTTCAGACGTCTCAATCAAACTTACTGTAAATTGTATCTTCACACAGAGTGATTGTAAAGCCTAATGATGAACGGTGGAGATGACAGACCAGTTACCTCGCATGCTGAAACAGTGTGGTGTGTATGTGAATATGATGGAGAGTAAAAAGGGAAATGAGGGACAAAATGCACAAAATTCCAGCTTGTTCATGCAAAAATAACCTTTAAAGATTTATAAAGTTAATCTATAATTCAGCCTCAGTATGATCATTTCATAAAGGGTCTTTCATGCAATCTGTAGGATGGGCACTTTTAGGCTACAACTCTTTCATGAAGCATATTCTTCACATGTTGCCTCTACTTGTAAGATAGGGCTTTATTCTCTAAAACAGGATCACTAAACCTTTTCAGGATCTATTGGCACAGGACAAATGCTCCTCTGTTAGCCGATGTGTGTAATAGAACCAGTTTTTGTTGCTCTTTCCCCTACAGGGAACGTAACTCAGAAAGCCCATCTTCTAACACGAGTACACTCCTCTCTGAGAAATTCTTCAGTGTAAACAGAGAAAAATGCACATAAACTTGAAGAGAAGCGCTGGCCAGCAGATGAGGAAATTAGGCTCTCGGGGAGAGATGGATGGACGTCGGGCTTAATGAAGACAGCATGTGCCTGGCTGCTCTCGATGTGCGATTATAATGACCGCTGGGAGAGTCCACAGTAAAAAAAAAAAAAAAAAAAAGGGAGAGGAGGATAAATACTTCAGAATGAAAAACGACTCTTTTACTTATCCATGTGGGGAACCTCATATTCTTGCTTTACATTTTAAGCCAATAATCATTGATTTCTTTAAAGATGATTGCAGTCCTACATTGGCTACTTCTCGATGAGACGGGGGGCCAGGAGGAATTGTGCGGCGGTGATAGTGTCAGGGAACCAAATCTGTGTGTGTCCTCCTGCGGGCTTTAATTGGTCTCATTGATCACACTGTTGAGAAATGCCAATAGACCCTTGTGTTACCTCCAGTTAATGTCTCCCTCGGTATCGCGCCACGTGCCAGATGGAGTCGTCTCAGCTCCATATTTCAAAGCGCTGGTCTGATCCCCCCCCCCCGCTCCGCCACAGCTCATGGCCAGAGGTAATGATGATGTGTGGTGCAGCAGTAAGCCATAACGCTACGCCCCTGGGACTCCCATAAATCTTAAGACTAGGACACATCCACCCATAACCCGGGGCATCCAATGCTCTCCCCCCTTTTTAATATCGGTATTTGTCACGTCTGGTTCTTTAGCAGGCAGCAGTGTCATATTAAAATCTGGCATTAGGCAGCATTAAAGCAGTTAAGTGGAAATAAAAATCAGCAGATATATCAGACTTTAACACTGAAATATAAGAAGACTTTTACGGGACTACCATGCATGCAGAGTAAGCTGTATTAAATGTGAACAATTATATTGATAGCACTGCAGCCACTTATTCTTTCTGTTATATTATGGTATATACTTCATTTGTTTGGTTTGGTTAAATGTTGTGTAAGGCAGATGGTGAGGAAAATAAATCACTTCACTTAAGTTTTATTTTCCAGTCCTACGTTAGCTTTTCAATGACAAATGTAAGAACAATAACTTCATTTTGTTTTTTTCAAGTGAACCCTTCCCTCTCTGGAAGTTAGCCCTACCACCGCGTGAGGGAATAAGAAGGCCCCGCCCACTCAAGGACGCCGTGTATAGAGAGTGTCATCACAGGGGTTCAGCTGAAGGAGAAACAACAGACTGTCTTTCCTAAATAGACAAACATACTGTATAACAACCAAATTGTACCAACTGTAAGGTGCATATCCTTACTTGAGATTGATTGTAGAATCTTGTTTTCAGATGTCTTTCAGCACCAATCTGCTGCTCTCACAGGACAGGAGGGGGGGGGGGGGGCAGATGAGGGATGAAGGGGGGGGGGGGAGAGATGAGAGCATTTGTTTAGGTCTGAAAATCTCAGAAAGTCGCATTGTAAGTGTTAAAGTGTCCAGTCTGTGAGTCATAAGACCGATTGGACAGTAAACAAAAAAACTAAAACCGAAAAATCTTTTTTTTTTTTGTCCTTCTTTTTTTTAGATCTTTGGAGCCAATGATGTGGTCTGTACCAGGATTTATGTACGAGTGTAGCAGACGTCCAGGTCCTTCAGAGCTCAAGTTTCCTTCATGAAAAAACTCTTTCAGTGTCTAACTGACGGGGTGAGGATTACTCAAATGACATGCAACGTCTCAAATAATCTGCTTTGACACAAAACAATTTGCACCTTTGTGAAACCAATTTCATCTTCACTTTACCGCTTGTTTTCTCCTTTTGTATATAATTTTTCTAGCATTGGAAATTAAACAATCAAAGTATGAATTCTTGTTGTCTTTTTGTCCGTTGTTTCCTTCCTGCTTCAGGGTTTGGAAAAGTAGAAAAGACAAAGATGAGGTCTCAGCAGAAGACTCCCCTCGTTTATATGTGACCACGATATAAAGGTTCATGTGTTTAACAAACAAAATGTAAGAAATGAAAAAAGAAGATGGCCAACTGAGTTTCAGTCTATTCCAAGGATATTTTAATGCCAAATACCATACTAACACTCATGAACAACATCATAAAAGTCAAGAGAAGAGACAAATAAAACGAGGTACAAACAATGTTTTTCTATGTACAACCAGCTCTGCAGGACTTCCTGTGTTATTCTGTATTAAACAGGAAATAGAAAAATAAAAACCCAGGACATACACTGTTCCAAGATTGTCTGTAGCTGCTTATGTTACTTACCATCGCTTTTAAGAGATCGGGACTTTGTTGGAAGGATGGATTCTGTTTTTTTCTCTCTCTTTCTTCACCTCCATGTTGGACAATTGGTGTGTTTGCTTCTATCCTGCTCATGTTAGTATCCAAATTTAAAATGACAAAGTATCAGGCTGCTGTTCAAAAGTTAATGTAAGGTAAATGAAATTGCTTAACTGTGGATTTCCTCTGTGAAACATTTCAGCATTCAATGTGATAGTTATGTTTATTATATCAGACTTTTTCCTGGATATCTACTGAGCCCGTTTGAGGCTCATGGAAACAAAACTGCAGAGCGGGAAAGGCATAAAAATGCTTATTTACATCCCTCTTTGAAGGGAATACAACATTCACATTTGTATCTCACAAAGAAATACAAACTAATAGCTTTGATTAACTACGACAGATGGACTTATTGCTTTGCTTGTTTTGTAAATCCTTCAAACTGTACACAAGTCACATAGCTGACATTCACGTATAGACACACTATACACCAGTCAGTGTTTGTTGTTAACACCGCACATGAGAAACAAACACAGTGGCTGTACACTTTGTATAGTTGATACACTGAGTGAGCACTGAACCTGTCGCACAGATTCTAACCATTTTGGTCAAGTTTCCATATGAGTAAAGGTGGCCGTACTGTAAAGACTCCAGTACTTTGAAAAACAGACATCAACTGTACTTTTTTTTTTTTAAAAAGGAAAAAAAAGGAGAAATCGCTGCTCAGCTACATTCAATCATCTTAAAACCACGAGTGAAACGGATGCCAAAGACTAAAAGTAGAAAAGCTCAGAAAAAGGTTTAAACACAGATAAAACGTTTCTTTTTTTAACTAATCTAAAATGTAAAGGACAACACGTTGGACAGACCACAAAGGGAAAAAAAGGTCTCATATCAACATCCTTTGGTAAAAAAAAAAAAAAAACTTTAAATGTTACACTTTCTTAATAAACTTTTCTGCAGACTCTACTTTAAGATCGATACTATGTGTGTTAATGTACGCTACTCATCACTGACATCTGATTTAAAAAAAGAAAAGAAAAAAGAATCTAGATATAAACAAGATATTTACATAAGGTGTTTGGGCAGGTCATAAATTACTGTATATTATATCGTGCCTTATTGCACCTTTAACACCGAGAAGCAGAACATTCACAGGCTAAAGACGTTTACAGCTGGGAGCCAGATTCCTCTCCAATCTAACCATTCATCTGGTGACTGCAGTAACAGGTTGTTCTTGGTAGAGACAAAAACCTGAGGCGTTTGTTTGTATTTCATGTTAAATAATGAGCTGGTCCAAAAAAAAGAATACACTTTTTTATAGTTAAGTTTCCAAGTTGTAGTTTTTGTGTTGTTTAAAATTGGTACTAATCCACAGTGAAGGAGTGCTTCTTTGTATACGGTGTAAAAATCTGTGCTTAATATACATAAAATAATGAGATTATTGAGACAAGTTGGTACTGTTAATATAGAAAACATCTATCGGTCATATGTCGCAAATTTTGCAATTTGAGCTCGATAGTTAGGACAAAGTTCCTGAATCAGTTTTCTAACATTCGCAGAAGTTGGGGAAATGTGTTGATTGATGACCCAAACAATTTGGCAAGTGAATCCAGCAACAGCAGGTTTGAGAATCCAAATGAAGCCACCGTGTATGTGAAGTCATCACTGGCAGTTTGTCGTGTAAAGACAGTTCATCTTTCCATTAGAGACAGAGAGACTACAGTGTTCGGTACTTCACCCGGTACTTGTTCACGTTGAGATAGTGGAGGACAGCCGGGTTGCAGGTGGTGGTGCAGGGCAACAAGGTTTCTTGATCTTCTCCCATGAACCACCTGCGGTTGGCGGCGGCCATGTCGCTGGTCACATGCTCCTTGGCCCAAGAGTCCAGCCGGACCTGAAAGCGCCTGTGCAGACGTGTGTGGACCCGCTGGTGGGACTGAAAGAGACCAGAACAACACGGCTCAGATTCTACAACACCAGTCCAAAGTAGAACAACAACGTCACAGGAGTTTAGGGGCTTTTCATAGTGATTGATTGTTCAGGGGAAAATATAAATGAAAAAACAAGAGAATACAGCTCAGTAGTGAGACAAACATGATTGTTACATTATGAGCCAGTTTAACTGTGATGTCTATTGTCTGTGTTCATGCACCGCTCACAAATGTCTCTCAGTGTATTTCTTTAGCTTTCTTCACACATAAACAAAACTCCTGAACATTTCCTGAAGTGTCCGGGGTGAGCTGAATGTGTGAATGCAAACCTACACATTTTTCATCCTGACTTGATCCGGAATTTGTTCTGCTAGTCAGCTCGTCAGATGTCCAAGTGAAGGCATGGTGACCCGATGTGTGAACACTTAGCAGCTTATCTATCAACAAGTATGCCAGTGTGTTCTTGGTACATTAATGCGTTGATGAGTTTTGTTCAACGTCACATAGCAATGACACAAAGTGAAAAAACAGTCATCATAGTGTTGGATTAACTATCTTGGATTTCTACAACATCTTTTTAAGTTATGTCCTGCTCCAGACGCTCACCCCTGACAGACAGGGAATATATGTGAGTTACATGTGTCAATAAGCCATTCAGGAAGATTGTAGTGACAGGCTGCCCAGACATTTTCTAGAAATGTTCAGGAGTGCATGTGTGAAGCAGCTATAGATACTGTACAATCGACATATTACCAGTTAGTCTAGGAGGTCGGCTCATGTTTTCATCTATGCTCTGTGACTGCCCACGTTATCTGCTTTTTTGTTTATCTTGCTGATCCTTCCTTGCACACACATCCTTGGTAGTATCTGTTCCAAATGAACTTCCTAACACACTCTTCTGTGCTAAACGTTGAAATGAAAACAAGTGCTCTTGTGTCAGAATTCAATTGAGAATGTTTCCCTACATGTTAAAAACTCCTCACAGAAGTTAATGAACTGTAATAATCAATGTACACATTATAACCCAGCATGACAAAACAGTCAAATATCCTGAAAAGGTTGACTTTGAAGCTTGAAGGCTGAGTGAGAAAAACAGTATTATAGATCTGTATGCAGCGTCATTTTAAAGTTGTTAGTTTTGGTGACAGATTTTTTTCTCCGCTTTTTAGAATTCTTAGATTTTCAGCCATCATCATTAATTGTTCCTACTGACCCTATGACTATTAGTAACAGATTGAGCGCTGATTAAATCCAGGGTGCATAAATGTTCTGTTCTGTATTTACCTGGTGAGCTCGTGTGAGCGCTGTGTGCCTGTACATGTAGTCCTCTGACTTGCACACGTAGACCATCTTGTAGGAGTTGAGTTTGAACATGCACTCCATCTTTAGCTCGCTGCTGCCGTCCTGAGACTTGTCAGAGGGGCCCTTGGTCAACCTTTCTTTTTGCAGTTGCTCCCATCCTCTCTGGCACTTTCTTATCTGCCGCAGATTCCTGAAAGCCAAAACAAATATGAAGCGATGAATAAGACTGACGACAGAGAAACGGTCTGATTTACTCCACACATCAAAAAAGGGGTGCATCACGTTTACAGGGAAAGTTCCCACAAATTTCCAACATCTGTTCACCGTTTTATTACCAATAGTTTTATTACCATACAATTTCATGTTCGACAATGTGATTTCAAAGCTAGGCAATATGATCAGGCACATGACATCAAGCTAATTTGAGAGAGTATAGTAAATTTGAGAGGACTGTCCCTTTAAACAGTAATTTGGAAACCCATGCATTGCAACTCACCGAGTAACAGAATTAGAAAGGGAGTCAAATCATTCGTGGGAAATGTGGATCTATAAGAGCAGCAGAGGCAGCAGTCGTGATATTTCTGTACAGTGCACTTTCATCGCACAGCCACAAAAGTTCAAATGTTATATCTTTGACAAACATATTTTCCTCACTGGAAAAGTATCCTGATTTTGTGCAGGTAACAAAAATGCAATAATTCACCCCACCTGAATGAAAGTTTTAAATGTGTACTTACCACTGAGGGTACAGGTGAGCGGGGACTGAAACCATGAAGCATATTTTTACATTCAGGGCTCCACTTTAAAGACATGACAGGGAGGCCAATTTAAAGTCAAAACTGTTAGAAACAAACACTAGAAAATTCGCTGCCTGATCGAAAACCAATCAAAAATATGAGCTGAGGATACTTTGATGTGCACATACTTTCACCCACAATGTACAGAGTGTTATGATCATGAGATGAAGACCCAACACAACTTGAAAAAGAAACTGCTGGATTTTCCCCCCTAACCTCCATTGAAGTGATTTTTTTTAAGGGTCTTTTGCCCCTTTTTTTTTTTTTTTTTGCTGCTGATCTCTCATAGATTCAATGAAAAATAAAAGAAGGACACGATGTGGGTGAGCCCACTGATAAATCAGTCAGGTACCAGATTTATGCAATGGGTTAAATAAGAGAAAATCAAGTTTTTTTTTGTGTTTTTTTTTTAAAAAGCTCCTTTCCAAATGTTTATGGTAATGGACAGCCATCTCAAAGAAACATAAAGACAAAGAAATCACTTAAAAACAGTGACAGGCCCTCATG